GAAATTGAACTCCTACCAATCCAGTGCTTGTCTGATCACTATGGAGGCTGGCTGATGCCAGGATGTTGAGCAGATATGGAAATGATGCTTGCCCTCATAGGAATGCTGCGAGGCTGCAATGCGGGAACATAATTGATCGACTGCGACACCCACAGTCTCAAACAACTGATTCAGATTGCCTCGCTCCAAAATAGCTCGAGCTTTTGGAATCGTTGGATGCTCCCACTTCAGAGCAACTTCCGCCACATTTATCATTAACAGCAGTGTTCCTTGTCGCTGCCTTGACACCTTTGCCTGGCACCCCTACAATGAAATGCATCGAAGTGGAGTTATTCTGGTGAAATTGCAGTTTCTCACCATCTTTCTCTCACTCCATCTCTCTCAGTCACTCTGAAGGAAAGAGCCGCGCTTCCTCCTAAATCCTGCTCAGAAATGAACCTGTCTCAGATTTTCTCCCCCCTCTCTCTCTACATTTTCACTTTCTTTCTACAAAGTGCCTGTTTCTCGATCAGTGTGCTTTAAAAATGATTTGCATTGATTAAATTTGTAAATTGTTTTAGATTAACCTGGAAAACGTGTATCTTACGCTGTTTCTATCGATAGACGTATTGTCATTTGAAAACAAATGATCCAGGTTTTTAATTCCTGTATTGTCAATATGTGTCTCTCATTGATTTTTAACCCTACCACTGCGGCAACACATGGGCTGGATCTTCCCATTGATTATTAACTATTTTATAAGGCTCAATATTGTCTAAGAGAATACAGTGGGTGAAAAGGATCTGTCTTTCTGTTTAATATGGTTCATTCAATTTTAAACATCAGTAACTGGTTTATCTCATTGATTTTTCTTCTATTATATCCAAGCAATTCTGTTAGCTCACTTGTAAACTTCTTCTTTTATGATAAATCCTCTATCCACTGTGGTCCGCAGGAGGATCGCCGTAGCTAGCTTCACCCTTCATCCTAGCTAGCTAAGGCTAGCATGTGCTTCCTCCGAGACCCGTAAAAGCCAGCCACGGCCTCTTTAGACAGCTCAATGCAAGAGAATACTAATTGCCAATTTTGTTATGTCAGCTAGCAGATGCTCAAGTTGGCTTGCATCACACTGAATCATGGGGGAAGAGGCAGGGCCATCATAGCCACCCAGTAAGAGAGGCCAATTACACAGATGACTGGAAATCGAACTCACAATCTCCTTATGATAGGGCCAATGTTTAGATCCTTGCACCACTTACAGGACAAAGGGTAGAGGGAACAATGAGGACTAGATTTTCACTAGAAATGCACTTGCTCTCCACTCTAGGTTACTTTTACATTTATGGCATTTAGCAGATGCTCTTATCCAGAGCGACTTACAGAGAATATATCCTAGCTACAACAAATAGTTTAGAGTTAAGACACTGCGAAACAAGAGTCTGATACCTAGAAAGAAAGGGAGGCGAGGGGCTCTGCTGTTCGAACAACCAGAGGACATGCATTCCACCATCTAAATGCCAAGACAGAGAATGCTTGTCTTCCATGTGTCTTGAAGGACGGCGGGACAAGCCAAGCTGTATTTGTAGCTAAAAAGACTCCGAGTACAGATCGAGTTTGAACCATTTCCATCAGGCAGGAAGGGGCTGATCTATTCTTGGCTTTATAGGCAAGTATTAGGGTTTTAAATCTGATGTGGGCAGCTACAGGAAGCCAATGAAGAGAGTGCAGCAGTGAGGTGACATCAGTGAAGATTGAAGACAAGCCATGCTGCTGCATTCTGGATCAGCTTCAAGAAAGACCAGCCAGGAGCGAGTTGCAGCAGTCAAGACTTAAGATGACTGAACAAGCACCCTGGTGGCCTCCCTAAAGACAAAGAGTCAAATCATCTGGGTGTAGTAGAAGAGAAACCTGCATGACCGAGTTAGTTTTGTGAGAATTAAATCTGATCATCTAGACTCAAATTCATGTATCCTCAGAAGGAAAGACCAAGGAGTTCCCAAAGGAGATGGTAACATCATAGTGAGGACCTGTAGTTCCAGGGATCTCATTGATGGGATCTATAGCAGCACAGTCTTGCGAGGATTCAGCTTCAGGTGGTGGGCTGCCATTAGCATAACAGTGGTAGAAGAAGGAAGAAAGGTTCCATAAGAGGATATTGCATCACCAAGAGAGTGAGTGTAAAGAGAAAAGAGAAGAGGACCCGGCACTGAGCCTTGTGGTACACGAGTGGATAGTCTGAATAGAGTGGATGTATAAGCGTGATTAATGTACCCCATCCAGATAAGACTTGAACCACGTGAAGAGCCAGTGATTCCAAGGTGGTTGAGGCTAGCCTCTATGAGTTAATCTGCTAGCTAAGCAAACTTTGTAATGAGACTGTAATTGGTTGGCACAGTATTAACATATAGCATACATATTAACATAAAAAAAGATTGCCCTCTTCACCAATCTTCATTCATTTTGTCAAAAGCAAATGAACATCTATTAATTTTAGTACAAATAACAGTCAGGTATGTTATGA